CTCTGTTCTGTACATCTGTGTCTCTTTTTCTGTTTTGCATATAGGGTTATCATTACCATCTTTCTAAATTCCATATATATGCATCACCATTTTTTTAAACTTGAATCTCTCAGGAGGAACTAGGCAGACACAAATTAAAAGACATTTTGTAAAAACAGTTGAACTGAGTTCAGCACAAAATAGGCACTCCAGCAATGTGCTTAGAGCTGGATGGATAGACATGAGTGTCTGGCTAGTGAGAAAGACAGATAAATGGATATATCAATGAATGCAGATCAATGACTGGCTGGCTGGATAATAAACTAATAGATGGATGGATGTGTGGGTGGATGGATAGATGATTAGAGAGTAACTGGGTGATGGAACGAACAGTTTGATGGATGGATGGATGGATCCTCTACACAAAGTTACTCAGATAGTAACCCAAGGCAGATTTTGAACAGGATTTACCAGAAGAAAGAGAAAAAAGAGGGAAAGAAGGAAAACGAAAATACACACATGTGATATTTCTTGTATTTCTTGAAGAGTTATTTTTTCAAATGGATTGAGGAAAATACTCATTTTCATACCTTAGGAGTTAGAAGTGGTATAGATTTTTGCCAGGCTTCTCTAATGGTTTATTAATTTCGAATAGGTGGAGTTCATAAACAACATTCAAGTAGCATTCCAACACCATAGATCTCACTGTAATCACTTGAAATTACTTTGCCATTGTACATGCTACTGTCAAAGATCAAAATGTGCCATTACAGGCCCAATGCTGGAAATGAAAGTTGGCGGGTTGTATTCCCAGAGACCTAGGTAAGGACAAGCTGCTGTGTGTTTACTTCCTCAGGGTGAAGCTACTCCATTGTCCATTCCAAGCATCAGCAATCAACAATCAGTGCCACTTTGGGTGGGCGTATGATTTCCTGTGATGAGAAGGTCCTCCAGCCAGGTGAAATCACCTACCAGAGGACTAGAATTCTTTGAACCCTCCTCCTGTAGACATGGGTGTCCTATCACTTTCCACATTGTCCAAAAAGCAAAGGCAACTGACATTCTATAACCATTGAACACATCATGTCCATTCATAGTACCCAACACTCATTCAATACCTATGTTTTGAGTGCCTATTATACATTGGAAGAGACACAGTTCTTGTCCTAAAGTGAACAGAAAGGGCTCAATAAAAAAGAAAAACTCCCTTCCCTCCCTTTTTATGTATTTTAAAAACCAAAAGTGATGGTTCAGTAGGAATGATACCCTAGTGACAAATTTATGTTTATAAATTATCATCAAAAATGCCTATGCTGTGCTGTGCTTAGTCACTCAGTCATGTCCAATTCTTTGCAACCCCATAGACTGTAGACTGCTAGTCTCCACTGTCCATGGGGATTCTCTAGGCAAGAATACTGGAAGGGATTGCCATGCCCTCCTGCAGGAGATCTTCCCAAACCAGGGATTGAACCTGGGTCTCCCGCATTGCAGGCAGATTCTTTACCATCTGAGCCACCAGAAAAGCCCTAGGTCATGCAGTTTCTCCCTAAATCACTCCTCATCAGGCTTGGAGTGAGTAGTACTTCTTCACAATAATAAATAGGTTTTTAACATTCAGTTTTTACCCTCAAATTTGTGTATGTAAGTATGAATCTCATATTACAAAAATCTTAATGGATGGAGCATTCTGAAATAGGTGGCAATGCAATCAATGGTAGTCTTAGAAGTAATGACTGCTAATGTTCATTTGCCAGTTTCTTCAATTAAAAGTTTTTTATGGAATTAGAAGAAAAATTGCAGAGGGCAGGACACTTGTAGATCATGGCAAGAAACTTGCCCTCTCTGAGTCACAAAGGGAAAATGATCCACCAGGCATCAAAAGGAATGGGGAAGAACGACAAAGGAAGAAGTAGATGCATGAGGACAAGTTTCTCTTCTTTAGAAGAAGGATTTCTTCATCAAAAAGATTCTGAGCGAAATCGCTGTGGAAATGTATCAAAATGAAAGCTAGCTGTGTTCATGGCAAATTATGCACATATTATTCTTTTGTGACTTTAGATCCAGTTGTTCAGAGTCTTGACATTGTGGCCTTTACAAACTGCAGAATCAGTAACTTGCTGGCTGACGGACATGATAAGAAGCTCAAAGGTTATCTAACAGTAATACGGCCCTTTGTCACATTTCGCAGTATGTCCTGTAATAAACTGATTCACTGCCTGTGCATTGCTCTAAGTATAATAAAACTTATCTTTCTGGATCATTCCTATTTGATGTTCTGCTAAAAACATGAATTCTTTTTCCTGAAAAATAAAATTGAGTGTTAGTGACTTCCGCTCTTCCTGCATTGTCAGGTGGTTCAGGAAGAGTATTTAAAAATAAAAGAAAGCAACCTGTGACTAAAACACCTGAAAGCAGCTCTTAGGAGCCTTACAGCGGCTATTTGTCATAAATCCAGACAGAAAATGGGCAAAAGACATAACAAAAAAAGTACAGGCATACCTCAGAGATGGAGCAGGCTTCATTAGACTGCAATAAAGGGAGCCACATGACATTTTTGGTTTCCCAGGGCATTTAAAAGCTATGTTTACATTATACTGTAGACTATGAACTGTGCAATAGCATTATGTCTTAAAAAATCACAGTACATACCTTAATTTAAAAATATTTTGGAGATAAAAAATGCTAATCATCATCTGACCCTTCAGCGAATAATAACCTTTCTATTAGAAAAGGGTCTTGCCTTAATGTAGATGGCTGCTGACTGAACAGGGTGGTAGTTGCTGAAGGCTGGGTGGCTGTGGCAAATTCTGAAAATAAGACAGCAAAGTTTTCCACATTGATTGACTCTTCCTTTCATGAAGCATTTGTCTATAACATGCAATGCTGTTTGGTACAATTTTACCCACAGTAGAATTACTTTCAAAATTGGAGTCAATCCTTTCAAACCCTGTCGCTGCTTTGTCAAAGTTTATGCAATATTTTAAATCCCTGGTTGACATTTCATCATCTTCACAGCAATTTCACCAAGAGTAGATTCCATCTCAAGAAACCACTTTTTTTGGCTCATCCATAAGAAGCAAGTTCTTATTCTGTTAAAGTTTTGTCACAGGATTGCAACAATTCAGTCACATTCTTAGGCTCCACTTTTAATTCTAGTTCTCTTGCTTTATCTACCACATCTGCAGCTGCTTCCTCCACTTAATTCTCGAACCACTCCCAAGTTATCCCTGATGATTGGAATACACTTCTTCCAAACCCTTGTGAATGTTGATATTTGGACTTCTTCCCATGAATCATAAATGTTCTAAATGGAATCTAGAATGGTGACTCCTTCACAAAAGGTTTTGACTGACTCTGCCTAGATCCACCAGAGCAATCACTATGGCAGCTATAGCCTGATGAAGTGTATTTCTTAAATAATGTGACTTGAAAGTCTAAATTACTCCTTGGTCCATGGGCTGCAGAATGGATGCTGTGTTAACAGCCATAAGAACAACATTAATCTTGTCTCCATCAGAGCTCTTGGGTGACCAGGTGCATTGTCAGTGGGCAGTAATACTTTGAAAGGAATCTTTTCCTGAGCAGTAGGCCTCAAGAGTGGGCTTAAAAATATCCAGTGAACCATGTTGTAAAAAGATGTGCTATTATCCAGGCTTTGTTTTAAGGGCCTTGGAATTTTCAGAATGATAAATGAGCATTGGCTTCAACTTTGAGTCACCAGCTAATTAGCCACTAACAAGAAAGTCAGTCTGTGCTCTGAAACTTTGAAGGCAGGGACTGACTTCTCCTCTCTAGCTATGTAAGTCCTGGGTGGCATATTCTTCCAATAAAAGGCTGTTGGATCTACAATGAAAATCTGTTGTTTAGCATAGCCACCATCATTAATTATAGTTGTCATTATTTTGTAAACAAGAGCTGTCTCGTTCTCTTTTCTCTGCCTTCCTCCACCATGTTCTTTGAAGCACTTTGAAAATGAACCCTCATGTAGGACTGACAGACCTTGGTCATCACTGGGGCATCTTCACCACTTCCTCACCCACTGGAGACTCACTAAGGTTCTAAGGAACTTTCATAGTGGTCACCACAGCAGTGTTCACCATCCCAGCCACGTGATCCACTCAGGTCTGCCTCTTTGGAGTTCCCACAGATTTCTAGGACAAGAGAATCTTTGACAGGTCTGGAAGCCTCATGCCTAACATTGTGCCTCCATGATGCCCCAACAACCTATGATGGTCCTCAGAGAAACTCTTCTGCCCTCTGGTTTCCTAGAGGTACTCACGTCTCTCTTCTCCACCTTCCTCTGTGATATCAAGCACAATTGACTCAATGTCTTGGCCTTTCACAAAAGACAGGAAGAATCTTTGAATTCAAGGCTATATTTTTCCACACCCCAGGGGAATATTAAGGGACTCGTTACCACTTGGGTTTAGATATCAGGGTTTTCAAAGGGTCTGAGAATGAGTAACTTAAAAATTTATCCTGTTAAATTGAATTTTTTTAAATAACCTGGGATTATAGCTATGAATTGTAATGTAATTAGTAAAATGTGTTCTGAGTTCCAAAAACCTAACTTACAGATGAATGCAACTATTTTGTAATGAGTAGAGGTAAGGAATGATACTTGCAGTTTAGAAAGATTACATCCTTCTACAAAGTAATGTGACTTTGCTTCTTGATATCTCACTTCAATCTGATTATACATTTCCCTTGCATTCTTCATGCAATTTGTGTGTGTGAATGTACATATGAATATATGTGTGTATACAAGCATACTCATTTATATAAACATATATATTCTTTCATATATATGTAATCCATGCAGACTTCTGATATTGATACCATCTTTTCACCTCATCAACTTTTTGTGATCCTTGAAATTTATTTGAAAATACACAATGTTACCCATTTTTCCAATCATTCTAAGGTTCCTCTTTCCTTTCCTGATCTCCATGTTGGAACAGAAGACCATGCTTTCTCTTCCTAGATCTAGATCCCAATCATTCTTTTTATTGTGCATTTAGGAAGAACAAAGGACCATCTGAAATGGAAGACACTGAAGATAAGTGTGAAAACGTGATCACAATTGAAAATGGCATCCCCTGTGATCCCCTGGACATGAAAGGAGGGCACATTAACGATGCTTTTGTGACAGAAGATGAGCGGCTCACCCCTCTCTGAAGGGCTACTGTTTTGCTCCCCACCTGAAACTCAACACTTGTGTCTGTGCAACTGCTGAACATCACAATTAATCGAGTCAAGACTATGTATTTTGTTTTCATCACTCTTCTTTTGTAAGAAGTTTGAATGTGCGTGAAATGAAAAGGCAATGACTTATACCCATGAAGACAATTGGAATCATAAGCTGCTGACGATTCAAAATATTCTAAAATATTTCCCTGACAATACAGTGTATAAGTATAGTCATCTGGCATTTGCAGTTATTGATTTTAAAAATATATTAGTATTTAAGCATTTCTAGTCATAAGGTCAGGCCAGCATATATATATACATATATATATATATCTCACACTTTTGAAGACCTAAGGAAAAAATAATTTTACAATGGAGAATGCCTATAATATGGTGTCTAAATCATTGAAAGTGGATCCTTTTAAATATCATATCACTCTGTATATGATTAGATAAGGAAGAATAACAATTACTGTAAATTGGATGGATAAAAATGGGAGTGTTGAAATACAAGGTGGAACTTGATCCTGTTATCATACCAACAATTGCTTATATATTTTTTCTATCAGTCTCTAATAGGGCAGCTCTGCAGTTTGTAAAAGTACAGTCTGTGCTAACTTAATAAAGTACTAATCATCTCTGTTTGATTAACTGACTGATTGTGGTCTGCAATTTCTTTTCACACTGTGGAACACAGTAAGCCTAATTTTTATGTTGTGTTTAATCTGCTCTCCTGTCCTAGAAATGAATTACCTTTGTTGTGTGTATCCCTGCTTGAAGATTGTAGTCTTTAGACTTGATTTTACCCTTAGAATGAGAGAAAATAATAGCAAATGAAACAACTGACAAAGGATTAATCTCCAAAATATACAAGCAGCTCGTACAACTTAATACCAGAAAAACAAACAACCCAATCAAAAAGTGGGCAGAAGACCTAAACAAACATTTCTCCAAAGAAGACATACAGATGGCTAATAAACACATGAAAAGATGCTCAGTATCACTCATTTTTAGAGAAATGCAAATCAAAACGACAATGAGGTATCACCTCACAGTAGTCAGAATGGTTATCATCAAAAAATCTATGAACAATAAATGCTGGAGAGGGTGTAGAGAAAAGGGAACCCTCTTGCACTGTTGATGGGAATGTAAACTGATCAAGCCACTATGGAGAACACTATGGAGATTCCTTAAAAAACTAGGAATAAAACTACCATACAACCCAGGAATCCCACTACTGGGCCTATACCCTGAGAAAACCAGAATTGAAAAAGACACATGTACCCCAATGTTCACTGCAGCACTGTTTACAATAGCTAGGACATGGAAGCAACCTACATGTCCATGGGCAGAGGAATGGATAAAAATATTGTGGTACATATATACAATGGAATATTACTCCGCCATTAAAAGGAGCACATTTGAGTCAGTTCTAATAAGGTAGATGAACCTAGAGCCTATTATACAAAGTGAAGTAACTCAAAGAGAAAAACAAATATATATTAATGCATATATATGGAATCTAGAAAGATGGTACTGATGAACCTATTTGCAGGCAGCAATGAAGATGCAGACATAGAGAACAGACTTGTGGACACAGTACGGGGAAGGAGAGGTTGGGATGAATTGAAAGAGTAACATTGAAACATTTATATTACCATATGTAAAATAGATAGCCAGTGGGAATGTGCTGTATGATGCAGGGAGCTCAAACCTGGTGCTCTGTGACAACCTAGAGGGTGGGATGGGGTGGGAAGTGGGAAGGAGGTTCTACAGGGAGGGGTCATATGTATACCTGTGGCTGATTTATGTTGATGTATGGCAGAAACTAACACAGTGTTGTAAAGCAATTATCCTCCAATTAAAAGAATCATACTAATAGACTTGATTTTACTTCCATATAGGTATCGTTCTAAATTCTAATAATAATTATTATACATATATTGATAGAAAATTTGCAGCTCAGTCTCCCACTGCCATCACCAACAGTTGGTGTTATAGCAGTAGTCTCTAACTTGCTTCCCATATCCATTTTTTATTTTGAAGGCATGGGATGGACCAATTTGATCACTAGATCATTTTCTTCACTGTTTATTGTGAAGCTGAGGGGATTTCTTCCACTTGCAAAGGTCTGTTCCACTAAATATCCTTGCTGAGGAAGTTTTCTTTGCTAGCAGAAGTGCGCTGTAAAATTGACCATCAGTATAACAGCAAAATAGAGCTTATGTCTCCTGCACTGGCTTTGACAAACATTGTGGGTAATTAGAGAGCAGTCAATCATCAACTATACCTTTCATTTTAAAAATAATGATCCTGTAATGCCCCACAAAGGAACACATTGTGAGGTGATATGTAGTGGAAATAAAATGTTGTAAATTGAGTGGAAATATGGCTGTCACTCTCGTCTCCCAGTCCTTAGTGAAAACTATGGTGAAACTGGAAACACAGAAACATGTGAAAACCAAGTCACTACAGAAAAAATGAACTGAAATGGTGATATTTGGATTTGTTTCACAGAAGAAATGTAAATGCAGGTAGGTTTTGGTTTTTTGGGTGTAATTTCATCTACCACATTTTCCAGAAGGACTAACCAAAACATCGCTATATAAAAGAATGCAGTGAACTCTTGTATCTAGGATGATACATGATCAGATACTAATATCATCAAGTGAAGTATACACATTTTTCGTCCCTGGATAAGGAACAAGGAATAGGAGAGAACACAAGTGAAGAACCAAAAAGAGTGTAAAATCCCTCAAACTCCAGATTCCCAGTCCTTATTGCAAAAGTCATGGGGCCCCTTAACTTAGTATTTTATTTCCCATCTTACATCTTGTTTTTTATTTATTTTTAATTAATTAATTTTGCATCTTGTTTTCTTTCAGTTACATAAGCAGATGCATGAAAGTTTTCTTTCATTCTTTCCTACTAACCTTCCTTTGACCCTTCCTCCATTCGTTCCTCCATCCCTCTCTCCCTGCCTAAAGAATTTATTGAATGGAAACACTCTGTGTAAGATAAGATGCTGGGTTCAGAAAATATAAACAGAGAATTTCCTAGAAGGGATTTGTTCATTATTTATGACAAGATTCAGTTTATTGCTGAGAATACCATTCTTTTTTGGGAAATTTTAGTTTGAATGAATGAATAATGTCTAGTTGTTATATAATGAGTTATTTTGCTCCGTATTTTCACAGCATTGTTTGAAAGCGAATTTTATATTAGTTATGGGCAGAGACTATGAACCAATTTATAAAGTGCAGCATTAGTCTAATAACACATTAAGGGACAGTAGTAGGAGGCAAATAATTGGTACAAGTCTTTATCATGGTACTGGACAGTAGGGGAGAGTTTGGCTAGTAAAGAGATGACAACTGTGTCCCTGGATGTAATTTTTCCATAGTTACTCCTTGATGTTGCTTATACTTGTTTGAAAATTAGTTAACATATGACAGTAATATGGGCATGGGGGTATGGGGTGTAGGATGAGACATTTAATCAGATGCAGAGAAACAGATCCTAGGGTTTCTTTTTTTTTCCCAAGTGTCTGATGTCTTTTGGCCCGATCTGAAAGTAGATTCCCAGAACATGGCTAGGTCATATCCAAGACCATTGGAAAGGGTGGCACGAGAGCTCCTGGGCATGGTGTAGAACCATGGTGAGCACTAGCCACCATGGCCAGGCAGGCCTAGAAGGTGCCATGGTCAAGTGTCTTGCTGCACTGAACAAGTGGCCCCTTTTGCAAAACTTAGCAAAAGTTCAGTTAAGACTCATGTGTTCACCACTCCTGGATTCCATCTGTCAACCTCCACTTTTAGTTCATAGTCCACCATAGTTAGTGAACTAATATGACAACATTATTTATATCAAGGTTGCATTTGTAGACTTAGGAAGTTGAACCAGATCAAATTGCTGCTATGCAGTCATTTTTGACCTACAAAAATGACAGTTAACCTATGTTTCAAGCTGTTAGTTCCCTAGTCAGTTCTTTGAAATTTAGGAATGATGTTCCCCATGTAAATATGTCATACATAATAAGGCAGCCTTCAGGCCAGTTCACAGGAGCATATTAACCCATGGTGTAGCAGAAATATTGTATAGTTATGTTGTAAAATATTAGAAGACAAACTGTTGTAATGCCAGCAGTTTAATGAAAACAAACAAAAAGAAGACAATGTAATAAAAACCAGCTTTGGTTGTGTTTTATTGTCAGTGCTTGAGGAAAAGCAGATTCTAATGGAAGAGTGAGGAAGTGCATGGAACTGGTAAAAGGAACTTAACTCTGAAGACCTTCAAAAGTTGTTAATCCTGGCTCATTGGTCTATATTGTCTTGGCTTCACCAACATCCACCTGCTCTCTAACTCTGTGCCTTCTGGGTTCCATTCCCATGCGCGTATGCTAAGTTGCTTCAGTCATGTCTGACTCTTTGCAACCCCATGGGCTGTAGCCCGCCAGGCTCCTCTGTCCATGGGATTCTCCAAGCAAGAATACTGGAGTGGGTTGCCATGCCCTCCTCCAGGGGATCTTCCCGACCCAGGGATCAAACCTGTGTCCCTTACATTACATGTGTCTCCTGCATTGGCAGGCAGGTTCTTTACTACTAGTGCCACTTGGGAAGCCCTCCATTCCCATAACCCTGAAGAAACTGTTCCCTCAAAGGTCACTAGTGAATTGCTGGTTATCAAGGTCACAGTGTCTTGGTCCTCAACTTCCTGAATCTTTTTGACCCTTTTGACAGTGTAGGGCTCTCTGCTCCCCACATTTTGACATTCTCCCTTCTTGACTTTTCTGTGATATGACCCTATCATTTTACTCATCCCCTTTCCCTAACTTTTTTTTTTTTTTTTGGCCACCCTGTGCAGCATATAGGATCTTACTTCCCAGCAACCAGGGGTTGAATTTGTGCCCCCTGCATTGGAAACATGGAGTCTTAACCACTGGACCACCAGGGAAGTCCCTCTAACTGTTCTTAAAGAATCCAGAGAAGAAATTGAAAGGGAGATAAAGATACCAGTGATGAAAAATTAAGAGATGTTGTGCAAAGTATGGTTGAGCTCTCAGTAGTGAAAGAAAAGAGTTGCCTCTTGTGCATAATGAAGGTGGTGGAGAAAATGCTTGGGCTTAATGGTTCTCTCTGCTGACCACCAACAGGTTGCTTGCTATTCAGAGAAGGCTTGGAATAAGAGATAAAATGTGCATTAAATAGTTATTGTATTAAATGATGAGTGCTTCATGCAGTGGTGGAGAGAGAGCACCAAGGCTAAGAGAACACACTTTCATAATCTGCAACTCCAAAATCCAAAAGCCTCTAAGAACTGACAGCAACCCCTGACCCAAACAGATATAGTACTCTTTATGATCTATATTTATTGTACTCAATGGTCTTTATTTATTGTACTTAATATTATTGAATGCAGAAATAGTCAAGTGTTTACTGATAGGATGCTGCCCCAGATCTCACAGAGTGTAGATTAATACATGGTATATGCACAGTATTACCTCTATTCCTGAGTCATTTTTAAAATATTTATATATTTGGCTGCATCGTCTTAGTTGCAGCATGTGGGATCTTCCTTGCAGCATATAGGATCTTTTTAGTTGCAGCATGTGAACTCTTAGTTACAGCATGTGGGATCTAGTTCCCTGATCAGGGA